CTGCAGGTAGATTCTGTGACTTACATGACTTCACAATTCGGACAAAATATCATATTGCACAGTCCTTAGTCACATACAGAACCTACCTGCTTCACACAATATGGGCAAAATATCATATTAGAATATATTACATTACATACATATGCCTTGCTATGTAAAATACACACTGGGGAACCCTTGATGTGACATGGTTACATGGTCTGCATTATTTTTGACCAAAATAATTTACATTTCTTGGATCATGTGAACCCCTTAATGCACCAAAACATCCACAAACCATCTGTGATTAGTCAGGGCGCATACTGCACATCGCATATATGCATACTGTAGCCTTTTACGATATCAGCATTACAAAGCCCAATACCGAGATAACAATAAATGACTCCACTGAATGTGACTCCACTGAATGTGACTCCACTGATAAAATTGTGTCATATATATGTAAAGCAAATGCATAGAAAGTTCCCTTCCAGGTGCATTCTGACATTAACAGAATTTGAACACAAGATTGAGAACCACACAGCTCCATCACTGTATTGCCAAATAAAGTAATCCGTCCAGCGGGGGCAGAACAATCTACCTGTCAATAATTGTGTTGTGGAGCGGATATCAGATCAAACACATTTCTCAGTGGAGATAAAAGCCACCTGACTGACCCCCATCCTGCCTGCATCCAGGGACAGGCACAACCTTCAAACTAATCTCATAGCATCTCATGGCAAACAGGGGAAATATTTGAGATCTGAGCTACCGACAGTGAGATCAGTGATGACTGGCTCCACACGGCACTCTGCCGCTCTTCTCCCAGGGCCTTCCCCTCCTCTCATCGTTCATGAGGACGTAGGAACTCATTTCCTACTGCCGAGACACAAGCTGCAACATCTGCTCGAAATCTATTGCATAACTGACACGGTTCGCATAGAGATACGCAACGACGTTAGCAAAGAGGACATGTAGCCCCTCACTAAACCGAACATTTCAGTGTGTGTAATTTTGGGATATAAATAGATCATCCCCAATGCAGTTAAGGAATACAAGCTGTGTGGAACAGCAGAGTCAATAGCCTGCATTCAGAGATCCAACACACATGAGCAAGCTACAGCTGAAGAGCAGCTGTTGAGCTGTTCACTCAGTCATCCATGCCACAGTACACAATGAGGCTTTCAGGACTGGTCAAGTTGCAACAGTTTTGCTTTACTTGCTGCTGTCTGATGGCAAGCACTGATGTAGGTATACAAAAGCATTCATTTCCTGCTTACAGGCTCAACGTATTTGCATATATTAGCTATGAATGGCACACATAAATGTCACACACAAACAAAAACTACTATAAACCTAAAGCAATTATGAGGATAACTACTGAAAAACTACTACTAATAAACGTATATTTTACAGATCCTGATATCTGCTAGTAAATACTAGTAGAAGCACACAAAGCCAGTTGGACGTGTAAAGCTTGCTAGAAAACCTTACTTGTCTTTCTAGTTTGACACTGGGCCTCATTTACCAATATCTACGTCAGACTCCTGACGTGTTCTTAAACTGCAGAATCGTTTGTGCCTTTGTGCTCTGTAGTGTGTAGATTCTATTCTTACCTAAGAACAAGTCCCACATAAGAAAACACTGGTGAATATGAAAATCGTCTCGTGGGTGGGTTTTAAGAAGACATTTTTCTTAAGAACTGTTGGTAAATGAGGCCCAACGTTTTTGTCACCATGACATTTCGTTACGTAGCCTATTACATTAACTTGCTGACTTGTACTTGTATATTTTGAGGCCTTTCAGTCCATATTATAAAACACCAAGTGTTTGTTTTTTGCAAAAGTATCACTAGCCAGGTTTTCATCCAACTGTCAAATTAAATTCAACTGAATAACAATTTTTGCAAAAATATTATGCAAATCAGATTGTGTTTCCATCAGCTCTGCACAAGAGAACAAGACTAAGTGTAAAAACATCTCTGAGAAATATGAAGCAAGATTTCTCTAAGGAGGAATGTTTAGCGTTGAGCAAGTTCTCATTGCTGTTTTTTTAAATGATATGGCTATAACCACAGGAGCTCAGAAACTGAACACACTGGTAAACATAATGGCTCAGGACAATTCATGTCCATTCATCAGATGGTCACTTTGTCTTTTTAGCATCTAATATCACATTTCTGTTTCTTTAAAAAAGTACATTTTAATTTCTTTATTAGTCCATTGAACCTGGTGACTAACACCAACAGAAAAGCACACTTCCCCTTACAGATTCAGCCGCATTCCTAGAAAAACTGACATTCTCAGCACTTCAACTAAAGCTTAATTATTGGTAAAAACGCACTCCCTGTACAACGGCATAAGCATGTTTGCTTATAAGGAACATTAACTAATAATGCACCACAATATCATCATTAAGTATGAGTCGAAAGCAATTTTACAGGCCTATTGTTCGAGCTCTAATGCACAGCAGCCCCTCAAAATCAAAGCACCTGGCTCCTTTTTCAGAGCGTCATCAGAAAACAAAGCCAAAATTTTGAACTCTTTCAACAACACTGTAACCCTCCTATTAGAGTTTGCCATCCATCCGTAGATTATAGCCCAGTCCATTTTACATCAGCATGACTGGACAACAAAAGACTTCAGTGTAATGTGTAACATGCTTCAAAGACAAAAATGAAGACCAAGGATCTTCCACAGGTTCTACGTAGCAGAGATTTATTTAATTGCCTAGAACTAATTAATCGCAGGCTCCTCTAACCGCAGAACCCTCTCTTCTTAATAAGCGTAGACAATAAGCAGCATAATTGATTGTATGGTGTCTCAGCAGTATAGCTTTTGTGATGATGTTGCCATCATGAATCCCAGCTTCGCACATTCACAGCACAACTTCAAACTGCATAGGCTAAACTGTGCCACCAGATCCAAGTCACATGTAAGAGTGAGCCATCAGCCATCCCTACTACTCGTTCCACAAGGGGAATACATCAGTTGTGTTTCCCGAGCATTACTCCACAGCTCAGATGTTACCGAAGTCATAGGACAACGCTGTCTACGCAAGGTTTGCACAGAAGCTGAAAAAACTGCTTATTAGCTAACTTCCAACAACATAAGTGTCAAAAAACAGGCACAAAAAACACAATTGTTGGCAACTCTCAAACAAACAAAAATAAGAATATTGTTGATATATGTGGAATATTTGAAACTTAAGAAAACATTTATGTGAAATGCTTCATTCTAGAGAAACTTATTTAGAACTGTTCTTAAAGGTGGTGATAGGAACCAGATGTCCAAAGTGTTTTTCCTCTAAAAGCTACCACACAAAAAGTCGTTACACAAAATGGTCCTGAATACGCTGTGAGACACTGTTTTACAGTAGTTCTGAGATAAGCTTTTGGTCTAATGTATGTTTATTCAGGGTGGAGGTGGGCGATGTGGGAAAGATCTAACGTCACGATACTTCAAGAAATTTTCACGACACACAGTAGGTCATAATATTTATTTTTACAGACATCTGATCAGTTGGAACTGAGAAGAAAGAACCAGTAGTGCTACGTTTTAAAAATACTATCAAAAACTGTGAACACAAGAATTTTTATTTAATATTTTGCATACTTCTCTGCGCTAAATCCAGTTAAACGGGACTAATTTTGCTCTCTTCATAAAGAAACACACAGTTGGTCAGTGTTATACAAAGTATTGACTATGTTCAGAAGAGCAGACTGTATTGTGACATAATTTATCGCAATGACGATACATACTGTTGTATCGCCCAGCCCTAGTAGAGACAGACATGCAAGCAAAATTGTACCCAAAGAAAGCTTATTTTCAGGTTTACACTATTTGACAATTATCAACATTACACAGAAATCTGAGCAGCTATATAGGATATAGCTGCATTGTACACATCATGTACCCTGGTTCCACTACCACTGTAAAGAAATCAGTCTGTAAGTTTCCCTACAATGAACCACTTCACATTAAACCACTCCGAGTGACTTTGTTTACACGCAGCAAACGTGAAAAATCCTGAATTCCTACTTAAACCAACACCATCCTGCAGTAATAATATCTCTCAAGAGAACCTGGACATTAAGAGTGTGTATTTTACTCTATGCCGTGACCCAAATCGTGGCTAAGAGGTCCTCCAGCGAGGAGTGTCGAATAGCTACCAAAGTTTCACACAAATCCTCAACACGATGCCCATCCAGTCACGCCTGTCCACTGGAGACACCGCTAGGTAAGGATGAGGTGGACGAAGGAGAAACGTCTAAATCGTGTGCAGCTCCAGCAGAGCGTGCAGTGCAGCAGGCAGAGAGCTGTGAGGAGATTCGGTGAAACTGCTCTGTCCTCTATACCGCACAGTTCATACCATCATTTTAAAGCTCTTTGTTTTGCAGAATAGACGTAGCTGCACTGACTCTAATGCAGAAAGAACATTCTAGCGTTAACAGAGAACGTCAACTTCGTTCCGTGATCTAGAACAGGGCACGGAGCGCTGGACGGTTATTTTAACAAGTGAGGCTCGGCACTACTTTGTAGCTTTGTTAGCACATTCGCCGGTAAAACCGCGAAGACTGCAGCAGTCACGGAGCTCTGCTCCCAAACCAAACATCGTTTTATCACCGTAACGTTTAAAGTCGACTTTTTGAGGCCAGAGTTGTCTTTTACCAGACGTTAAATTACAGCAAAGGGTGCTTTATAATGTGAGTAGTGTGTACTCGGCTAGCGAGAGCGGCTAGCCGTTTCCCCCAGCACACACGATTCAATCACAGCGGAGCTTGAAAGCGCTCCGGCGATAATACTATCAGTGCTGAGGGCAAATACACACCGATAAAAGAGTCTGGCACATTCTTCTGTTCAGCAGCCCCTCTCTGTGTGTGAAGTGTTGGCTCCATTTAACAGTTTCTGGCTAAAACAGCCGCGCTGGAGAGGTTTACAACAACAACAGCGTGCCTTCTTCAACAGTGGGTTAACCTACACTGATCATCGTTAGCAAGAGCAACCAGCTCAGAGTCCTACCTTTCGATTTAGCGTTGTTCCCGAATAGAAATAATATGCTATTCCGAGCACCCAGAGCACGGCGAAACACAGTAATATCCTCGATTTCCTCCGCATCGCTGTGATTTGTGTTCCGTGGACGTGCTATTCTCAGTGGCTGGCTTCTGCCTTCGTTCGTGTAAAGCCACTGATGTCCAGGCTGAGAGTGTGTGAATGTGTGTGTGTGCGTGTTTCGCCGTAGCTACAGCGCTGGAGAGAGAGGAGAAAAGCTCTGCCACTAGTTGGGCAGAAGAAGCAGGAAACGGCCAACATCACCGGGTTAGAGGGGAAAGGGGAGCCGACTTTAGTCCAATCACACTCGGCAGAGACGCCGGCGGAGGAGGGCGGGGGTGGGCACAGCTATACCGAGCCTGGACCTCCGCAACACGGACTGCACAGCCTTTGTTGGCCGCGTAAGCGTAAACCTCGTCCGCACAGACCTGGTCCCGACTCGGCGTGTCTGTTAATCACACGAAAGGCTTTAGATTCGTAAGCGTGAACGATTAAAGGTTAAGGAGAACGAAAGGACCATGAGTAAACTTTATCAAATTAAAAATAAAGCCGAAGTCACACGTTTTTTATCTCATACGATTAGAGCATTTCGCTCTCTATGAAATTTAATGTGACTTGTAAATTCCGCTTTCGATTCGCCATCTTCTCCATGCACATCAATCACGGGTTATTTTGTGCAGTGTGAAAATAGAGCCTCGTTTTTGGCTGAATGAACTCCAGGCTCTGCTTTCTGCCTTTAAAATGACTTGATAAATACTCTGAACGTTGCTCAAATGCACATGGAAGTGTTCCAGCTCAGTTCTACTAAATTTAACAGCTATTTTAATATGCAAAGACAACGCATTTCTGTGCTCTTTGCAAATGCTTGTTTTTTCCAGACCCTACTGACAAGCCTGAGATGAGTTAACAAGTTCAAGATGCTAAACTACTGCAATTTTAAATAATGATAAACCCACCTCACGAACTGTCATAAATCAAAAATCTAAATCAGTACTGTGAACTGCTGAACACCCAGAACTCCCCCTAGAGTTTCAGACGGACAACAATAAGCAATGGAGAGTTTGGCTGATTGCCTGCCATTGGATTGTTATTTAGGAATAAAATTCCCAAACATATATATTCATCTTTGTTGATGAGTCATATTGTGAGTGTGTATGGTGTATAATACAGTAGTGAAGAAGTGCTTTGTTTTTTTCTTCTCCACACTTTTCTTTTTCTGTCCTGCTTTAAAGCAATCGGTAACCCGGCCTTTCTGTTCTCAGGGCTTAAACCTGCTTTGCACCTTGTGATAAACCCTCTGGGGTGTGTGATGTTTGACTAATATGACCTTCACTGGCATTGACACATGTTGAGAGGCAACAACAACAGACTCCAGATACAAATCCACATCTATTATCAAAGCTAGACCTTCCTTTAGTTATCTTGTGTATAAACTAATGATGATGCAGTAACAGTTGAGTAGCCGTTTGTCCAGTTAGCAATGAGGAATCCTCAGGTCCTTGTAGGCCTTCAGAGGCATAATGATTTCTGTAATATATATATGGATCCTCACATACAAAAATTACTTTAAACTAATAAAAAAAGACAATGTAGTTTGCTGGTTTAATTGCTATTGTTATGTCTCAAACAAGTTGATGCCCTCAAGGCATGCCAGCCCACACACTAGCATCTATCTATCACCCAAATGTTTACAATAGACTGCCTATTTAAGATTTTAGAAAAATAAATAATGAATATATTACGTTGCAGGTTGTAAAGGATCAGTCTGAAAACAGTTACCGTGGGTGCATTATACATCATATGTCAGGGCTGTCTGTGTTGATGGAAGTGTGTTGGTGTGTTGTTAAGGAATTGGATCTTTCTGAGTCACGGGACAATCGTGTCATTATCTATATGAAGGGCCCAATACAGATTTTAGGTGCACCAGTTGCTGTGGACCTCCATGCATCATTGGGCATCAGTGAAGTTGTGCCCCCTGCAACTCCCCCCTCGGTAGTTACGCCACTGGTTCCACAAAGAGAGGAGAACAATTAAAAAATGTGTGATTCTAATATGATTCATTAAGTATAGATGAAAATACCCTTGAATCAAAGTTGGCATTCTATACCTTAACATCATAGACTAAAAACAATGAACAATAAAAATACATGTATATGTCCAAACATTTGTAGACACAAATCAAGAGTGTTAACAAGGCCTCTACTCTTCTGGGAAGGCTTTACGCTAGATGTTGGAACATTGATTGCATTCAGCCACAAGAGCATTAGTGAGGTCAGGTACTGATATTGGATGATTAGTTCTGGATCACAAACGCCACTCATGCTCATCCCAGTGGTATTCAATGGTGCTGCATCACTCCAGAGAATGCAGTGCAACTGCTTGGCAGCCCAATGCTGGGGGGCTTTATACCACTTTAGCTGACTTTTTGTATTGAGCTTGCTGACCTTGGCCTCTGATCCATATTGTCACTGTCCAAAAAAAAAAGTATGTTAATTTTTGCCAAATTTTCTACATCATTTAAACATGGCAGCTGACATTAATATTGTTTCATGATGAAAAGACCATTAGACATGCTACGAAATAACGTGGAATAAAATCTCTTCACATTAACTTATGTTAAACATAAAGAATGTTTTTACATTCTGCTATAAAGTTACTATTTTGGACATACTTTTTTTTGACAGCGACGGTGTATGTTATTTTGTTATCTTTTTAAAAGGGCATTTTAATGCATATTACAAACAATCCAAAACAGTGCAAAAACAAATAATTGAAATAGATTAAAATACACATTAAATATAGTCAGCAGTGGTTAGATTGGATTGTATGTTGTCCTTTATTAATAATTTACTTGGCTTGTATGGACAAAAACATTTTTTTTTTTTTTATTCCTTCTACGTCTGTCATCTCACTTTCTTCATGAACAAGGCAATCACAGCTTTTATATAATATCTCTGCAATCAAGCTGTGTTCATTTGGGGATGCTTGCCTGGGTACAATGCCAGGCCATAGTCTTTTGATGTTCACACTTGGCTACAGGCTGTAAAAACTGTCAGATTTGCCTTCATTACACAATTACGTCTCATTTTGAAGATCATATTCAGCAGTGTTCTCCGATTCACCGCCATTGTCACTGTGACGGCTGATGATCCTAAACTGATGCTGCACACTATAGACATGATGAGGTCTGAAGATGAGATGTGACAGTGGGTGCAATAAAGACTTGTAAGGTAATCTCCTTTCAGAAAATTCAAAATTGTACTTAAGGTGCAATTATGGAAGTCATGCAATGATGGTGGGCTATTAACTGCTGCCTAACCACAAAAAGGAAGGACTCGTGTGGAAAAAACAACGTACTACAGTCTGCCAAAAGGGAACCAAAACCTCTCGTTTTCACAAAAAAGTATATATGTGTTGGGCCAGAATACAACCTTAAATAGCTTCTCATGGTACTGGATGTGCTTAGCATTTCATGAGTACATGTTTCTTTTGTTTGTTTATATGCTATAGACAAAGTCCACATACTAATATGTTGCCCGAACAAACATGATTGTTGCATAGTTAATTTGTATCATGTACATTTATGACAATTGTATATGTATCAGAGAAAGGCCTACCAATGAGGTTATAATAAATGCTGAAATATACGAAAGATTCCCATTGTCCCATTGTCTTTCATGTTTTTTTTTGTTTTCAGATATTGTTTAACTGGACTGCTTATTTCTAGGTAGTATTACAGCCCTGCAAGAAAACCAGCATATATTGTGTTTCAGATGCTGCTGGTCAGTCAACCAGGCCATGCAGCACCAGACCAGCATAAGCCAGCTTAGACCAGCATGGAATTCATACTGGTGTGTGCTCTTTTTTCAGCAGGAAGTACAAATGTAGAGCTGGAGGGATTTTGTACCTATTTTGATTACATTCTTCACAGCAGGAAATCTCAAAATATTATAAGCAATGGTAAGACTATTACCCTGCTTTATTGTGCATGGCTCAGGAAATGTTATGGCCAGGGCTCCAGGCTGTCCTGTTATGCATGGGACAACGTTTAAACTGCTTTGGGATGCTTCAGAGATGATTAAGTTGCGTACATAAACTTAACACTTAATGTCTGTAAAACATAGCCATAAAATCATGAATGTGATGGCCATTAATGTCCACTCTAAGTGTAGTAATGTTTAGTCCAGAAACTTTCTATGTAATATTTCTATTTCTATGTAATATTAGCATCAAGCTAACAATTATGTCCGTTCACATTTTTTTAGCATGCGCTGCCTTAAACATAGACAATTAAAGTCAAAACAGACTTTTATATAACAAATATTAGACATTTATATAAGATTGTCCTGCTGTATTTGTTGGAGTTTCACAGTCTCTCTAGAATCTTCTCACATATGACAGTAGAGACTAGTCGAGATTAGCTGTGTTAATGATCTCATAGCGCCCTTCCAGACTCGAATTATGTTCTAGGGCACAATGAAAATCTTGCATTGTTCTTATTCTACCTAAATGATGATAATTGTTTATAATTACTGTTTATTAGTTATTTCTGATGCCCATTACAATGCACATTGGTCCTGAAAAAGGCAATGTTCCAGTATTAATACAAAATAATTGTATATGTAATACATAATAAGAGCATAAGAGTTGATATAGCTTTGCTAATGCAGTTCATTACAAGGAATAAAATGGTTTTTAAACTTTAAATATATAGTAACAGAGCTTTTGATACATGTACATTCATAAATACTGTATACACATAAATGTATTGATGTACCATAGATGTGTTTGTATTCACTGTGTGTCTGAGTCTATATGGATACGTGTGTGTGCTGGGCATGTATGCTGTGTATTGCTAGCTGACATTTGTCATTTTTGAGAATCAATATAATATATGCATTTTGGGAATTAATATTTGGTCAGTCAGTGTTCACTTTGGGGCGGCTGACATATTTTTTGGGACGGTTCTGAAAAAAGTTAGAGGCCCTGTTATGGCTCAATCTCAGAACAAAAATACTGCTCTTAATTTTTTTAGAAGGTAATTTAGAGCTTAATTATTGTTTCATGAACATGTTTCATGTTTGTAAACATGAAAAAGATCTATTTATTAAATACATTACAATAATGGTGCCAATTTGTCTTACTTTGATTAAGTGTTCTTTGACAGGTAGGTCTTTTGTTATCGGTCATCAAGCAGGTTTCATCTAGGACCATATGGAAACTATCTTTGCCTCAATCTTATTTTAGTTGTAAAGTC